CATGTTTGTGTTGTTCTGTCACTCAGGACAGACGGGGTGGTGTGTATATGTTGATCATTAAGATCGGTTCCCCTCTGTCCCCCAACCCTCCCCTACCATCATGTAGTTATCGCTACTTATATTTTTGAACCTGAGGGGTTTATCTGTCCTGGATTCCATGTGTCAAGGGCTTAAAAAGAAACCAGTCTTATCCTCCTAAAATAACACTGCCTGTGCTGCCGTTCAGTTTTGGAGATTTGGGGTTACCAGGAGGCTATTTGGACTAGCAGGTGACCAAGAAGGAAAAGGAATCTTTAGGGACCATGGAGTGTGCGTTTGAGAACATTGGGAGAAAAGTGAAGCATGTACAATCGAGAGTGATGCAAAGTGCCTGACGTTTGATGAAAGTGGTTCCTGGGATGCCAAGTTGAAACCAGCTTTCTTGCCCCACCCCAACTTTTGGTCTGTCCTTGGTGTCCCCCTTGGTAATGTCAGCAAAAAACCAGGAAGACCCTGGACCAGATGGATTGATTGATACAACACAGTGGCTGCCGTGATGGGCTCACACGTGAGGGATTGTGAGGGTGGTGCAGGGACCGGGCAGCGCTTTCTTCTGTTGTGCACAGGGGTGTTAGTGGGAACCAGCCAGTGACACCTAGCGACAACATCATGGCGGCTGCTGGTCACCTGCCCGCACCAGGCAAGAGCTGACCTGCACGAGTCTCTGCTAGTTTGCAGGGTGGCCATGCAGCCCTTTGACCCACAGGCTGGTTAACACGCTTGATGATGGGAGCCAAGCCAAGCGGCTCTGGCTGTATGTATGCCTACCAGCCTGGCATTGAGGATCGTGGCTGGGTGACTCACCTACAACTTACCACTTCATTTACACCTTTGTGCTGGTCAGTTGGCACACCTCCTTGTGCCTTGCATTGTTGGTAGGTAGGTAACAGAGTGCTTGGTGTTAATGGACATTTTATGAGCTGCTGGGCAAAAGTCTTCAATAAAGAAACCTGCTCTCTCAGACTTTCATTTCCTCGGATGACCTGAACTAACACGATTCTGGCTTTTCTTTTGTCTCTCAGAGCACCTTCAAGGAAACAATGGCTGTTTGGTTTCAGAGACCACAGGCCTGGGTAACCTGTGGCACCCACAGGAAGCGGCGTGGCCGCTGCACGGCCCTCCCGGAGCAGACGGTGCCTGTGACACTTCGAGAGTGCAGGCTTCTTCTGGACAGTCCCCTAACACAGCTTCTCTAGCTGCCTCGGGTGACTCCAGCGCTTGCTCTGAAGCTCCAAGAAACAAAGGCCGTGATCATCCTGTACGAGGCGGGGGGTTCCAAAAAGGACAGGAGACCCCTTCCAAGGAGGCCCCGTGTTTGACAGAGAGTGCGCCTTCGAGCAACCTCCACAGGGACAGACCCAAAGGAGTGCACCATCCCCCCTCGGACAGTTCAGACCTGGCTGACCAGCAGGAGGACTGGGAGATGGTGTCCAGGCATTCATCCTGGGGAGATGCTGGCTTGAGCAACAGCCTGGAGGCTCTGGTGTTAAGCGCAAGTCAGGGAATGGACTGTGGCCAAAGCGCTCTGGGAGGAGCGAAAGGTCAGGGAGTAGAAGTGAAAACCGTGGCGTTGTTTCCTGAGGCTCAGCAAGTTAGTGTCAGGTTCCAGGTCCACTATGTCACCAGCCCTGGGGAGCAGCTCATTGCAGTGACCGGAGACCATGAGAGGCTTGGGGGATGGAGTACTTACATCCCTCTCCAGGGGAGCAAGGATGGGTTCTGGTCTCGTCCCATCGCCCTGCCAGCCGACACAGTGGTGCAGTGGAAGTTTGTGGTGGTCGAGAAGGGGGAGGTGACCCGGTGGGAAGAATGCAGCAATAGATTGCTAGAGACTGGCCATGAGGATAAAGTAGTTCAGGAGTGGTGGGGGCTTCACGGATCCTAGCTGCACGTACCGGAGAAGCTGTTGCTGGCTGGGAAAGAGACTAAGGCTGCAGAGTACCCGAGTCACTGAAAATAAAGGAGGTGTGGCCCAGACTTTAGTCATTCGAGTGGTTTCACATTTGCTAGTGCCTTTTACTTACTAATATGCATGAATAAATGTTTATGTAGATAATGCTCCTGGTGAACATGGGCTGCTTCCCCACGTGGGCACTGATTTGTGCTGATCACCCTGACTTAGAGCTGGGTGGGTGGGGCTGGGCTACGCCTGAGGGTGCAGGTTGTGGTCCTGCAGCACAGAAAGGAACAATACGTACAGTTCAAGCTTGAGCCTCTGAGTGAACTTTAAACCAAAGACGCAAAACATGCTTCACCCCAGGATCATCGGATTTCCTATTGTACGGTTGGAGAAACACTGCCACAGGTACCTTTCAGAGTGCTCCGAACCTTTGATGGCTTGCCGCCATGCTGGCAACAGTGGGCTCGAGCACAGCAGTGACTGTGGGGGTGGCACAGGACCAGGCAGTGCTCTGTTGTGCATGGGGGGTCACAATGTATCAGAACTGACGCACCTAACACCACTATGGGACGCATCAGGAAATAGCTGGTCCCCAGTTGTGTGATTCGCACAGATAGGAACTAATGCTTTAGAACTTGTGTAGGGACTACATCTTACTTGCCAGCGTGCCTTTGAAAGTGGCCAGGGCCATGTTTTCATGTAGCTAAGTTAGCTCTGTGCATGTTGTTTTTGTAGGCATATCGTACAGAACACGTACATCTTTGCTTTGATGCTCTACAGCTGGTGGAGAATCCAGAAGCCTAACTAGGGTTAGTCCATCCGGAGCAAGTGCTGGGAAAAGGGACGGTGAACAGGGCTGAGGCTGGGCTGAGTGAGATGGCCTGAAGATACTTTGGAGGACTGGGAGGTATAGTTACAGTCTCCACTTCAGGGACAGGCCCCCTTCATCTTTAGAACAGCAAATAATAAAGCCGGAACACTAATGGCTTCAGTAAGTGTTTGACTTGCTGGCCTAACCACTGTAGATATAAATGAAATATTTTCCTCCACTCATAAGGGGTACAGAGAAAAGTAAACATTAGGAAGCCTAGAAAAAGATGTGTTAAGAGTCTGTTTCTTTTACAGAAAAAGTTGATATTTGAAACTCTACCTTTGCTTGGGGAGAAATTCAGCAAGTCTAGAAAATGAATTCTTGTATGTGAAAACAATTAAGTTTTATTGATAACCTAATCCACATATTGTATAATTCAATAGTTCAATCATATCCAGAAGATTCGTACAATCATTAACCACAGTCAATTTTAGAACAACTTTTAATAGTGTAACTGGCAAGACAATGTTTAATCTTAGTGACAGTCTTTGCCAAGGAAGCATAAAACAACTGGAAATGGCATTTGTTGCTGTGAAGCTGACTTTAACTCATGAGGAGTACCAAGTGGAATTGTTCCGTAGGGTTTCAAGAGTGTGACCTTTTGGAAGTAGATTGCCGAGCCTGTCTTACTGGGAGACTAGATCGGTCCAAGCTGCTAACCTTACAGCTGTTAGGGGCCATCAAGTTGGCCCTGGCCCATAGCGACCGTATGCACAACAGACCAAAACACTGCCATCCTCGCCCTTGCTCCTGTGCCCGAGCCCATCGGTGCAGCCACAAAAAAAATCTACCTCACCGAGGGCCTTCTTTTTCGCCACACCCCCACTTCACGAAACATGATGTCTTGCCATCCTTCTAAAGAGCACTTGCTGTACTTTTCCCAGGACAGATGGGTTTGTCCTTAAAGCAGTCCAGAGTACTTTCGGTTTTCTTCTCCAGCACCACAATTCAAACGCATCAGTTCCTCTTCAGTTTTCGCTATTCAGTGTCCCACTTTCACAAGCGTGTGATGCAGTGGAGAACACCATGGCTTGGGTCAGGTGCACCTTAGTTCTCAAAGCAATACCTTTGCTCTTCAGTACTCTGAAGAGGTCTTGTGCACCAGATTTATCTAATGCAATAAGTCATTTGATCTCTTGACTGCTGCTTCCATGAGGATTGATTGTGGATCCAGGCAAGACAAAATCCTTGACAACTTTCACCTTTTCTCCACTTACAATGTTCCCTTTTGGTCCCATTGTGAGGATTTTGGTCTTTACATCGAGTTGTAATCCATACTGTAGGTTATAATCTTTGATCTTTCTCAGCAACTGCTTCAATTCTTACTTTCAGCAATCAAAGTTGTGTCATCTGCATACTGCAGGTCATTAATAAGTCTTCCTTCAATTCTGATGTCACTTCGTATAATCCCATTTCTCTGATGACTGCTCAGCATACAGATTGAACAAGTATATGGTGAGCGCATACTACCTTGTCCCACACCTTTCCTGGTTTTCAACCATAAAGTAGTCCTTGTTAATTATTTTTTTCTTAATTATTTCATTAGCATCAGCCTAAGTTCCAAATGAACATAGTGAAGTGTTCTTGAGAATGCCCATTCTTCTCAAGGTGATCTACAGTTTATTATGGTCCTCACAGTCGAATACCTTTACATCGTCAATGCAACAACTATGCAACACCTTTCTGGTATTTTCTGCATTGAGCCGAGATCCAGGTTGGCTCAGCAGTATCCCTTGTTCCATGTCTTCTGAATGAGGCCTGGACTTCTGGCAGTTCCCTGTCAATGTGCTGCTGCAACCTTTGTTGGATGATCTTAAGCAAAAGTTTACTTGTATGTGATATTAATGATATTCTGTTGAGATGCCTTTCTTTGGAATGGGCAAAAGCATGGATCTGGTCCAGTTGGCCAGGTAGCTGTCTCCCACATTTCCCGGCACACACAGCGAGTGCCCCCAGTGTGCTTCAGCTTTCTGAAACCTTTCAGTGAGTGCCCGTCAATTCCCGGAGCTTTGTCGTTGGCTAATGGATTGGGCGGTTTGAACTTCACTATTGCTCTTGCTCATATGCTACCTCCTGAAATGGTGGACTGTCTACTAGTGCTTTTTGGTACAGTGACTGTGTTCTTTACATCTTCTCTTGATGCTTCCTTTATCATTCAATATTTTGTCTATAGACTCAAATTTTCCATCTAGTAGTTGAACATTTAACTGTGTCACCACTCATAGGCTTCTGAAAATGGGGTTGGAAAGTGCTTTAAAAACTTAGAGTTTGGGGCTTATGAGATGTTTTCTTCATTGTTAAATCCTTATATTCTTACATAGTTAATGCATTTTATATTTGTTTACAAGGCATTTGTCACAAGCACAAAATGTTACAATAATGTAGCATGCGTGTATTACTAAACAGAATGCTCAAGTACTGTATATGCTCAAATATAAGCTGAGGCACCTAATTTTATCACAAAAAAACTTGGGGGTTTTTCAGCATTAAAAAATGTGCTAAAAAACTCGGCTTATACTCGAGTATATACAGTAATTCCTATTACATAAAACTAAAGGTAAACTAATGTATAATAAAAATATATTTAGGATTCTATTAGCCATTTATCATTACTTGATAGAATAGAAAACTTCAGTAATTATTTCAGTAAAGCCAATTGATTTAAGATATACATACAAAATTAAAGTTTATATTACTAAAGCATTGTTATTTAATGAAAACAATTAGACCACTGGATCAATGGACCACTCAAACAACCTCTCTAACCCTAAGACCAGAAGAACTAGATATGTACCTCTAAAAGGGATCATATTAGAAGGTCCTGGGATAGAGCAGGAGAAAAGTGTTGAACAAAACTCCCAGCCATAAAACAAAGACCAGGAGCAACTGGTCACATGGAGACTGGTGGCATTCTTAAGATTATGGCTCTTCGGTCACTGTTCAGGTCTAGAAATGAACTCACCTCCTACGGCTCGAGTTTCAGCCACATAATAGTCTCTGAATGAACAATACACTAGGTTACATATCTCAGAATAATCGACCGTACCAGTGAAGGTTCCCCACCCACAAGATTTTTTTGCTGGCACCGCTTTCTGCTGACATCTTTTCCTGGAATCTCAATAGTCATGTGTATAGGAAAAGTTCATTTATCATGGTAATGGCAATCAATAAAATCAGGAGTGGCAATACGAATCTCCGGTAAAATAGACTTCCAGGCGAACTCCATCATGAGACACAAAGAAGAGCATTGCGTAATGATTAAAGGGGCAATTGAACAAGGAGACATAACCATAATAAATATATATACGCTTAATGAAAGACTCCCGAAATACATTGAACTCTTACAGCTGAGGAAAGAAAGAGATAAGACCCCTTGTGATGTGGTGGTTACACATTGGGCTGTGATCCAGCAGGTGTGCAGTCTTAGTCACCAGTCACTCCTCGTGAGAGGACTCGGCTTTCTCCTCCCGCAGACTGCTATCTATGGTGGGGAAACCCACGGGCAGTTCATCAACTTGATGACAGCGAATGGGTCCAATAGGAGACTTCAGTAAGGAAAGGAGAATAATTGGAAAGATTCAGTGAAAACAGAATTAAATGACACAATCAACTTGACCTCCGAGGAGTACAGAACACTCCATCCAACAACCATTCAATGTACACTTTTTTTACAGTAAACATGGGGTTTTCTCCAGAATGGACCATATATATGTTAGGCCACAAAGTAAACCTCAATAAACTACAATATTTACAAACCATCTTCTCAGCTCACAACCCTAAAAAGTTAGAAATAACATACGAAGATCAAGGGGGTAAAAATCAAAGACATGAACATTGAACAACATCTTGCTTAAAAACTACTGGGTAATTGAAGAAATAAGGAATAAAAAAATTTAAATCCCTGAAACAAGAACTAAATTACAACATACCCAAACATTTGGGACACAGCAAAAGTAGTATTTAGAGGATAATTGATAACAATAAATGCACATATTAAAAAAGAAATTTTAAAATGAGGTAAAATGTAAATCTCCCCCAACTTACAATATGAAGTTAAAACATTTATGTACAAGCATGCGACACAGCTACTTCTATTGTACAGTGCTGTTCTAGAGAACACATACACATTTTTGTGGGTATATAAAGTTGGATTAGTAAGTTATAGTTTTAAGGTTAAAAAGAAAAGGGATCTATACTCTCCAAATAAGTAAAAGTTATGAAAATGCACAATTATTCCAACAGACTGCTTGTAACAGCACATTAATACCTTCTATTGGTTTGGGAATTAATTTATAGAAATAAATGCACACGCACTCATTGCTAGCAAGGCGGTTCTGGTTCCTAGTGACCCCACGCGCACGAGCTGAACTGACAGAGCAGACTGCCACACTTTTCTCCTCAGAGCTGCAGGTGGGTGTGAGCCCCACGGTTCCATTCACAGCAGCAAGCTTTACCACTTTGCGACCAAGGCTCCTTCCTACAGATACTTCTACATCTAGCCTTTATCTGTAATTTTACAGGGAGAGCATTCAGGAATAATTTAGTTCAAGAGTTCAGGACAGGATATCTTTTTATTAACCTTTTACATAAAAAGAAAAAAATTGTACACAGGGCACTAATTACAAGTAACACCACAATTAATTGGACATCATTCCTTTGGAAAGAATAGGCAAGCAATGTATCATTTTAGTAACATTTTTTCTTGGTCTTTCACTTTCTGTATCCTCTTTTCTTGATTTCTGATCATTGAAGACATTGCTGAAAATGTGGATGAAACAAAGTTAGAATAGCACAACCTACCCCAGCTTTAAGTTCTAAGAAGTGCCTCTTAAGAGACTGGCTTGTTACTACATAGTAGATACATTATGAACGTGTTGGATGTGACACATTTTTAGATGTGTGGTATTGTGGGACAGGTCGAAGGGGAATCTACTCAATTGTTCTAAATGAGCACAGTGATGCTGCGTCTAGAAGTGTTATTGTTGTGGGTGACACCGACTTCATTTCAACTCACAGTATTCTCCAATGACAGTAGAACTGCCCCATAGGGGGTTCTTATCTGTAATCTTTATGGAAGCTCAGGGTTTAACTATTGTTCGATCAGGGATCTTTACAGAAGTAATATATAACAATTGCAAATAATACAAACAATTAAGAAGCGTCAGACTTTCTCTTGCTTCCATCAGTGGGCTAACCCTCCCTCATCAGAGATCTTTAGTATAAATAAGTATGTGTGTGTGTTTGTGCTTGACACATAATACACATGTACGCAGATATCCACACACTTTTCTACTTCATACAAATGGAAATATGAAAAAAAAAACCAAATGGAAATATGTGGTATGAATTGTTCTGGGCCCTGCTTTTTCCTCCCTCCCTCTTAACCAAGTGTCAGATCCATCCAGTTCAACTCATGATGTCACAGAATTTCATTATATGAATGTACCCAAAATGTTAGTGAATACATTTTTAAATGCTTATTTCCTTTGCTTTTCCTTATAAGCACTGTTGCTATAAACACTTTTGTATGTAGATCTGTGCATATGTGTACAGCTATTGCTTGTAGAATAAATGATTCAAAGTAGAATTTCTGGGTCAAAAGTTGTGTGTGTATTTTAAATTTTGATAAATGCTTTCCAAATATACTTTAATTCAGAAAGGAATGTTTCAGAATGTCTATTAAGACAATGTATTCATTAATGGTATATATTTCTTGAAACAGTATTTTTAAAGTTTTAAAATCAATACGTGTCTTCCCCTTGGAATTCAATGTCAGTGTGAAGAAAACTGAGGTATTAAGAGACCGACTCTTGCTTAAAAACGCACAACAAGCGGAACACACGCACTCGATGCTCATGGTCATGGGGATCTCACGAGGCTACAACAGAGAACCGGGAGTTTGAACAACAGTGTGGTAGAATCTTTGTGTATTGAAAAATAGGGGTTTCTGGAGTCTGGAATTGCATGGATCAAGTCCCAGTCCTGCTACTTATTCTTTGACTTCAAATTTAGGGATCTACTGTGCTGCTATCTTCTGTTTCCTCATCTTCTAAATGAGCACAGTGATGCTGCGTCTAGAAGTGTTATTGTTGTGGGTGACACCGACTTCATTTCAACTCACAGTATTCTCCAATGACAGTAGAACTGCCCCATAGGGGGTTCTTATCTGTAATCTTTATGGAAGCTCAGGGTTTAACTATTGTTCGATCAGGGATCTTTACAGAAGTAATATATATCAATTGCAAATAATACAAACAATTAAGAAGCGTCAGACTTTCTCTTGCTTCCATCAGTGGGCTAACCCTCCCTCATCAGAGATCCTTAGTATAAATAAGTATGTGCCCACAAAATAACAGTGCCCACTGCCCAGTGTCATCGTGAGGGTCACATGAAGAACATGTAAATCAAGCACTGAGCACAGGGCCGGCACACAGTTGGGAAGCAAATGCCCAATAAATCCTTGAGTGTTATTATTACTAAGAAAGTGAAATGTGTTTTTAATCAGGTTATTCATAGGAAAAACATCTTATTCATCCGGAAACTTATGTTTAAAGACAGAAATATGAAATCACTATAACATCTGTATTCCAAAATTAACTTCTCTCTGATAAAGTAAAGGTTAAGTCATTTCCTGGGCTCTTGGGTTTATGAAGACCTCCCAGCAGACAAACATAAAACACAATGGCCCCAAGGGCTCATGAGGGAGGGGAGAGCAGGGAGGGAGGGGAAAAATCAGGACCTAATGTTGGGGGTTTAAGTGGAGAGAAAATGTTTTGAGAATGATGTACAAATGCGCTTTACACAATTGATGTGTGTATGGATTGCGATAACACTTGTATGAGCCCCTAATAAAATGTAAAAAAACCCAAAAAACCACAATGGCCCTTCTCTACCTATAGTACGCTGAACTTGTGTCCCCAAAGTTGTCTACCAGTGGTAGATTGCCATAATTTCTTACTGAAGTAGTGTTATTATATTTTGAAATGAGTTCTTCTTTTATTGCGTGATTCAATGGGCAGGATGATTTCATACAACACTATGCTAATTTAAATCTGGTGTCAAACTATCATCACTTTGTTTTCAGGCTACTGCCTGCTATTCTGATCCTGGCTACCAGCAATGCAAATGCTTGTCAGACTAGACAGAGATGAGAAAAGCAAGCTCAGGCGAAAAACCACCCAAAACACGTGCCCAACTCAGGGTTGGCCAGCAGTGCTCATGCTTAAAAGATGCACTTAGAACATCAAAAGTTCAGTTTTCTCCAATAACTGTATTTTTCTCTTAAAATTTTGTACTGCAGCATGGAGACTTCATATTATCATCCTTATTAAAGAAAAGAGGCAGAGGAGACCAGTCCAAGTTCACACAATTAATGCAAGAGTTCTAAAACCTACTGTCATCAGGTTAGTTTTGACTCATTGCCACCCTGTGTAGGGTTTCTGATGCTGTAAGTTAGTGGTTCTCAACCTGTGGGTTGCGACCCCTTTGGGGGTTGAATGACCCTTTCACAGGGGTCACCTGATTCATAACAGTGGCAAAATTATAGTTATGAAGTAGCAATGAAAATAATTTTATGGTTGGGGTGTCACCACAACATGAGGAACTGTATTAACGGGGCACGACATGAGGAAGGTTGAGAACCACTGCTGTAAGTCTTTCTGGGAGCAGACAGCCTCACCTGTCTCCCCTGGAGTGGCTGGTGGGTTGGAACTGCTGACCTGCAGGGGTAGCAGCCCAGTGCTTACTTGACAGTGTGTTTGTCACAATTAGACCCTCATGTTTTGACTAATGTTTTGGAACTGCCAATTCAAAGTTGTTTTCAGTGGGCATATAGAACCCAAAGCAAATCCCCTGCTCTTGCGGCGATTCCAACTGATAGCGACCCCATAGGACCGGATGGCACTGCCCCTGGGGTTTTCGAGACAGCAAATGTTTACAGGGGAAGAAAGCCTCATCATTTTCCCGTTGGAGCAGCTGGTGATTTTGAACTGCTAACCTTGTGGTTAGCAGCCCAACTGGTAACCACTATACCACCGGAGCTCCATACAGAAGTTAGAAGGCTTAGTTCTTACAGGCAAGGAAGAATGTTCCCAGAATGCACACTTTACCTTGGTTTTTCAGCTGTAAATCTTCTACCAGAGTTTGTAAACTTTCCAATCTGTTCTGGAGTTTTCGGCATGTTTTTCCTGTTGTTTCTATTGGCTGAGGCTGTGAAACTATTAGAAAATTGCTCAGATGTGATATTCAAAATATCTTCCTATAAATCTTCTGACTAGAGGCTAAATAGTATTTCCTTTAAAACTAAGAGACTTGGTAACATTTTAAAATTGTGTCTAGTTGAAATATTGCAATACCAACATATCTGGATGTGTTTCAAACCAATCCAATCTACTTACCGACAGAGCAATAAATGGATGTCTCAGTGCCATCGGGTTGCTTCTGACTCACAGAGACCCTCTATAGGGTTTCCAAGCCTACAAATCTATATGGGAACACACAGCATCCTCTTTCTCTCCTGCAGTGGCTGGTGGGTTTGAACTGTTGACCCTGTGTTTAGAAGTCTGACTCAGAAGCCACTGAGACTCCTTACTGAATGGGAAAGTGAGACCAAGATTTCAAAAGTTTAATGAACATTTTGTATAATACCAACCACATGAAGCACCATTAACTTAGGGTTTGGGATGGCAAGGTCCAATGTGGACATTGGCAACTTTTCTAAATGTGTGAAATGTGTGTGAGACAGTGTCTATTTGGTGCCACCTAAATGAGGGAGATGCATGATGGGAGAGGGTATTATGGAAGTTGGCTGGCAGCAGCGAACCTGGAAGAAATGTTGCAGTATGGATAGAAGAGGGGCCAACACCTAAGATATCAATCTTTGTGCGTTCCATGTTCCAACTGTTAATGGATATTTGCAGGCATTTCTTCTCATTTTGAGTGGTGCCCACCAGCAAATGAAGGCCTTGGACGCTTTACTCCATCCACATCATTATGGTCAACAGCACTTCCCCAGTCACATTTTGTGTGTCCTCCAGCCTGAGAGGCTCATCTTCTGGTACTATATGAGGGGGCACCAGAAAAAAAAACAACCCTGGAATCCACCCCCTCACCAAGATATGTATTTAATTTTAAAAAATTCATAAAATAACCTTATCACCATCACAGTACACTCCATTACACTTAATCCATTTGTCAAATCTGCGATTCCATTCTTGGAAACATTTTTCAAACTCATCTGTTTAGTGGCTGACAGCACCTCCCTCATTTTTTCCTTCACCTCTTATACATCCTCAAATCACTGCCCTTTCAGGTCCCTCTGTATTCCCGGAAACCAAAAGAAGTCACAAGGTCAGGTGAATCAGGTGCATGGGGCAATGGGGCAAGAAAGGCATGATGTTTTTTTTGTTTGTTTTTTGGCATCATGTTTTGTGACAAAAACTGGCACAGTGAGATGGCTGCATGAGCGAGTGCATTGTCCTGCTGGCAAAACCAGTCCCCAAGTGCCACAAATCAGGCCTTTTTTGTTACACGCTATTATGCAATGTTTTCAGAACCTCTAAATAGAAAGCTTGATTAACAGTCTGACCTGGTGGAATGAACTCCAAACACACTATCCCCTTCACATAAAAAAAAAAGGAGCATCATCTTGATCTTTGATTTCACTTGATGAGGGTTTTTTTTTGAGAGAGGTGATGATGGCGTCTTCCACTGGCTTGAATGATGCTTTCTTTTGGGGTTGTCCGAATAGCACCATGTCTCCTCACCAGTAACTACCTGGAGAAAAATCTCGGTCGCTTCAGAGCTACTCTTTCAAAGCACGGCATGTTTCCACTGGACACCCATTGCTGGTCAGTCAGAACCTGAGGCACAAATTTCACAGTGAGCCTTCTCATTCCCAAATCTTGTTAAAATTTGCTGAGTCAAACTCCAAGATAGTCCAGATAACTTCCCCATTTCTTCCATGGTCCCTCGTTGGTCTTTGAGCACAAGTGCAGGAATTTTGTTGATATTTTCTTCCACTTGGGAAGTTAATGGATGTTTAAATGAGGGTTATCATCAATCGACATTTCACCTTTTTTGAGACAAGAAAACTACTCATACACTGGGGTTTTTCCAATAGTGCTGTACTTGTAAGTTGTGTTCAACATCACAACAGTTTCTGTGGCATTTTTCCTGAGCAGGAAACAAAATTTCACAGGTGCACACTGTTCTCTTAAATCAACTATCACAAACAATGAAGTTTGAGTCAAACTGCTTTTATGAAAAAATTCACTGTGACCAGAAAGAACATTCCCAGGTGATGCCACTAGGTAGACTAACCCAGACTGAGTTGCTTAATACTCCCCTAGAGGGAAAAATTCTCATGATGAAAGATCCACCCAGTGGAGCTTTTTGTTTTGGTTTTATTGGGGGGGGGGTTGTTACCCCCTGGTACCTGACTAAGTACAATCCCCAGAAGTGCAGCTCCTACTCCTTCTTTGTTATCTGTTCTTAAGGCTCCCCAAAACCTGCTCGTCTTGGGTGGCTCCACAGGAGAAATCATACCCAGCACGACAAACTGCTAGAAAAGTGATGTTAACCTATTCAAACTATACTGAAGAAACAAAAGGCATATACGATATGAATCATCAATTAGAGCATGCATATATTAACCCAACCAGATTCATAACCCAGTCACGATTGATAGAGACCTGAGTAGGGTTCCCCAGACCGTTACAGCCTTATCTTTCTCCGGAGGAGTGGTTAGTGGGTTTGAATTCTGACCTTTGGGTTGGCTGTTCAGTGGCTAACAACAGCACCGTCAGGGCCCCTTCTATATAAGAACAGCATGCAAGATCTGATTAGCTCTGCATTCAGAGAACCGGAAATTCATCAGAGAAGGAAATCAGAGAACCTATCATCGATAATATCATATACTCACCTTTAACAGACTCAGGTGAATGAACAGGTTTGGTGGATCTGTACTGTGATACAGAACCTATTGAATCTTCAACCGAACTAGTCAGGAGCGAGTGCACTGGAGACTTCTTGGGAGAAGAATGATATGATCGAGAAGCTGAGGTTTTCACAGATGGGCTTGCTAAAATTTTGTAAAAACAAAAGATAAAATGTGTAAATAATATTAAAAGATACTTAAAATTTATATATAACATATATTAAATGGAGCTTTCAAAAATATACAGTTTAATGACCAGTGGTCATCATGATATAATGAAAATCAAATCAAACTAGAATTATAACATAACAAGATTTAGTTGGTTAAAATCCAAATTGTAACAGTTCCCTCTCTTACACTATAAATTCCTTTCAAGGAAATTGAGCAAAGAACCAGGAAGCAAAACCAATTATAGAGGTATAAACATACACCTGTATATATGTAAATATATTAATACATGAAACTAGGAGTATTGGCCTATGTACATATATTTATATGGCAATACATTGAGGTAGTGGGTGGACTTTGGGACTCAACACAAGAACACTTTGTTCTAATAATGTGGCACTAGGCGATGTCCACCTCCCCAACATAATCACTGAAGACAAACTGGGTGCATAAGCAAATGTGGTGAAGAAAGCAGATGGTACCCAGCTACTAAAAGATATAGCATCTGGGGTCTTAAAAGCAAGAAGCCAAACAAGCGGCTATCTAGCAGGGAATCAAGAAAGCCCACATGGAAGAAGCACATCAGCCTGTATGATCATGAGGTGTCAATGGCTGCAGGCATCAGAAGTTCAAAAATAAACAATCTCATCGAGGTGAAGGAGAGGGGTAAAAGTAGAGACCCAGAGCCCATCCGTGGATAATTGGACATTCCCACATAGAAGGATTGCACAGAAGAGAAGATACATCCAGGGGAGCAGTTTAGCACACAACACTCCTCTAGTTCTTAAATCCTTCCTCCTCACACTATTAAGTTTTCAGTCCGACCTTACAAATCCTGCTAGACCAGTGCACATACACCAGTACAGACGAGAGCTTTCAATATACAGAATTAAGGATTGACAAACCCCCTTAGAAACAGTAATGCGAGTAATGATTCCAGGAGGGTAGGGAAGGGAAGGGGAAGGAAGGGAAAGAAGGGGAGAAGGGGGAATGGATAGCAATGATAGCAGAATAACCCCCCTCAAGGGGGACAAATACCAGGATAGTAGGTGAAGGGATAGAATGGGCAGGGTAAGATATGTATAAATAATATATGTAAGATCCAATAAAATGATTAATTAAAAAAATATTCCTTTTAGCTTACTCAGCAGGGATGTTCCAACTTGAGAGGGAGGCTAACAAGGTCAGTAAGATAAGCAGCCAGACATGAAACATCACCTCAGTTTGGATAAACGAGGGTGCAGGAAGCTTCAGGGGATGGTGGTCTAATGGCCCCTGGAGAAACGTAGGTATAGAGCATTTCTTAATGATCATTGTAGAGCCTGTGTTCTTAGGGTATCAATCACCTCTTGTGACATTGTAAAAACCAGAGAATCTCCTCCCGTAATCGTTGTAAAAAAACGTTTCTTAATTAATCCTGTAGATTAATTTGTGGGGTCAGGATTGAATTATGAAACAGTTCAGAGGAGAAACCTTGCTGTTCCCTTTCTGTAAATGCTTGCAGGAATAAACAGAGGATTTCTCCAATCAGCCTGGTCTCTGTTTTTGGCCATGGTGATGGGCTCTTCTGGGCCCCCTGCAGTCCAACAACAATCACATTAAACTTGTGGGAAACATTGATTTTTCATGAGAAAATGTTCCCCGTGATGGGGAGAGAATGCTCTGGTGAATGGCGCAGGCTCTGGATTGGGACTGACAAAGGTTGTCTTTATGACAATGGTGAACAGCAAACAGAGCTGCCTGTGAGGTGATGAAATCAAGCTTCAAATGAACGCAAGGACCGAGTAGAGGAAAGTGACCCGGGATTGCTGGTGTCCTTAGCTCCCTGCAAGCAGCAGCATAAACGCTCAGCGGACAGGTGCTCTCATCTGAAGCCCTCACATCATCTGTACAATGTGTCATATACAATGACTAGCCAACAGGAATAGCCAGGCTTATGGAGAGACATGATGACGTTAGAAAATTAAGAGGCAAAAATGGAGTTAGTAAAGATGCACAGGGTCCAGATCATGTTACCCTGTTTCCCCGAAAATAAGACAGTGTCTTATATTAATTTTTGGTCCCAAAGATGCACTAGGTCTTATTTTCAAGGGATATCTTATTTTTCCATGAAGAAGAATATGATACACATTTGTTGTTTATTGTTTTGTTAAAAGAGACCTCGCACTTCCTGTCTGCTCCGGCTGCGCTGCAGCCAACAGTGAGCTGTGTGGCGGTGCCTGCTGCTACAGTCCAGAGTCCAGAGTTATGGTACCTTCGGGAGGCCTTATGTTCTGGGAAGTCTTATTTTCAGGGGGATGCCTTATATTTCAGCGAGAGGCAAAACTGTAAGTAGGTCTTTTTTTCGGGGGATGTCTTTCAGGGAAACACGGTAGTTATCAGGGCAGCTTTCTTTCTTTTGTTTTTTAACAAGAGGTGACAAACACATAATGAATAACCTCAGTATGTAAAGTATATAGTACGTTAGATGATGTTTCGATTTAAAAAAAAGAAAGAAAAGAAAAAAGTTGGAGTGGAGGAGGGGAGGGAGTGAAAGGGGGAACCCATCACAAGTTGGATATTTAGCCCTCCCACTCAGGGCAACAAGTAACAGAAAGGTGGGTGAAGGGGGACACGGACAGTGTAAGACACAAAATAACAATAATAATTTATCATTGATCAAGGATTCACGAGGGTGGGAGGGTAGGGGAAGGCGGGGAGGGGATGACAAGAGGAGCTGATACCAAGGGCTCAAGTAGAAAGAAATCATTTTGGAAGTGTTGATGGCAAAATATGTACAAGTGTGCTTAGTACTATTGAATGATGGATTGTTAGAATATTTGTAAGAGCCTCCGAATAAAATAATTAATGTAAAAAAGAAAATGAAAAATTAAGGTGGGGGGGGGGCTGGGAGTATGGGAAGGGGGTACTTTGAAAACAAGGTGGCCAGACCAGGTCTCACTGAGCAAGTGACAGCTGAGCAGAGGCTTACAGGGAGGTGGGGCTAGCAATGCAAATAGAACAGTGGGGCTAGAAATGCCCCATGCAGGCTCCAGTAATGGCAACTAGAAGGATAATAAGGTTGAATGAATGAAGGCAGGGAGGGCGGGGCAGAAGGAAATGGAATCAGAGCACTGATGCGACGGGCGATGCTACTTTAAGGAGTTTGTCTCTGGCTCTCATGGAAATGAAATGAGGGGACCAGAGGGTTTCAAGCAGCACCCATTTCCGTGCTTCTGCTGAAAACTCACCTGCTTCTGTAAACGTGAAGCAACTCACAGGGTCCTCCATGTCCCCTGCCTGTAATGTGGCTGGCTCTCTGGAAAGAGACGAGCGGTAAGGTCAGCATTTCATTTCTTTTCTTTTTTTTTGGTCCTTAAATATTTTATTTTATTAAAAAAAAATTTTTATTAGGGGCTCATACAACTGTTATCGCAATCCATACACACATCAATTGTGTAAAGCACATTTGTACATCATTCTCAAAACATTTTCTCTCCACTTAAACCCCTGACATTAGGTCCTCATTTTTCCCCTCCCTCCCCAGCATTTCATTTCATTCAGATGCCTGGACAGAATCAAGTTAACACAGGCCAAAGCAAGCACTTAAAACATAACCTCAAAACAGCAAATGCAATCATAGACCGAAACTACAGAGGTCATGTAATATCTTTTGAGGGGGAACCAAAGTTGTACTGCCTCCATGCATTTAGGACCAATGACATTTGTGCAGAATGTAAGCATCATACTAAGTCATCTTCATAAGAAAATTCATTTCTGACTAATCATAGCTTTAAGCATCCAATTGGAATGCAGAATTTATAAAGTATGAATTGAGGAACATTAGGAATTGTCAAAAGTGGAATGCATAACAATTAATATCCTAGGCATTAGTGACTTGAAATGAGTGGCACTGGCCATATTAAGTTGAACAAAGATACAGTTTATTCTGTGGAGGTATAGCAAATTCAATTGGAAAGGCATTACATTCATTGCCAGAAGGAACATTTCAAGATCTATCACAGTTGTCTGTGAAAGAATAGTATCTATAAGCCTACAGGACAGGTCAGTGATAATGTTGTTGTATGGCCCTTGTAGCTAGAGTTCCTTTGTGATGTACTATAAACTCTGGCCTCTGTGCCTATGGCTAGGACCCCATTTTGGAGGGCGTTCTCTGCTATGCTAATGGGCAGGAGGAATACCCTACACCATTGTTTCCTTTGGGGTGTGGTTGGCTAAATGGCAACCACACCTCCATTTTTTGTGGCCTCCCCTTTCTGTTTGAGCACTGATAGAAGCAAAAAGACATGCTTTGACTTTTAGACATTTTTTGGTCTGGCTCTACACCCTATGCTTAGCTTGCCTCTGCCTGACCTCCATTCTTGAGTTGTAGTCTAACACATGTCCAGATCTCACCAGCTTCTACAGCCTCATGGATGAGGCTGACCTTTAGGTGTGGGACCTAACAGCACCCGCAACCACTCGAACCATCTTCTCACAGCTGTGAGTTCTGTTCAAAGCTGCAGCGAATGGCAGAACCCAGGGGGGTGGGGGAATATACCGAGAGGAGTGGTGGTCAACATCAGGGGAAGTTTAGCAGTATAACATCTTGCAAGAGTTTGACATTGGGGATACCTGTAAATCCTGGGACTAGTTTGGTATCAATTCTCCTAAAAGAAATTACTACCCCAGGTGCCACTGAGTTCTATCTGACCCAGTGATTCTAGGTACAACAGAACAAACACTGCCTGGTTCTGTGAGTCCTCACAACTGTTGTTCTGTTTGAGCCCTTTATTGCAGCCACTGTGGCAAATCGTCTTCTTGACAGTCTTCCTCGTTTTCACTGAGCCTCTACTTACCAAGCATGAGGTCCTTTATGAGGGATTGGCCCCTCCTGATAACATGTTCAAAGTATGTGAGATGAAGTCTGGCCATCCTGGCCTCTTAGGAACATTCTGGCTGTACTTCTTCGAAGACAGATTCATTTGCTCTGCTGCCAGTGCACAGCACTTTCAATATTCTTTGGCAGTACCATGATTCAAATACAGCAGTTATTCTCTGATCTTCTTTTTTAATTTTACATGTATATAAAGCAACTGAAAATACCAGGATTTGGGTCAGGGACATCCGTGCTTTTCAACACGTTAAAGAGCTATTGCACAGCAGATCTGCCCAGTACAATACTTCATTTGATTTCTTGACTGCTGCTTCCATGACCATCGATTATGAATCCAAACAAGATTAAATCTTTGAAAAGTCAACAAATCAGGTTAATATAACTTTGATTCAAATTAAACCACCAACTGCTAAAGCTAGTGATGGAGAAACTGAAGAATTCTATCAATGTCTTCAATCTGGAATTGATCAAACATGTAATCAAGATGCATCAGTAATTATTGGCAACTGGAACACAGAAGCTGGAAACAAAGAGGAGAAGGACAAGTAGTTGGAAAATATAGTCTTGGCAAGAGAAATGAAGCTGGAGATTGCAAGACAAAAATTTGCAAGACCAATTACTTCTTCACTGTAAATACCTTTTTATCAACAACATAACTACAACCATACATGTAGTCTTTGTCAGATAGAATAGATAGGGATCGAATGGGCTATAACTGTGGGAAGAGAAGATGGAGAAGCTTGAGATCATCAGATAAAACAAGTCCAGAGGCCTACTGTGACCATCAATTATTCACATGCAAGTTCAAAATGAAGCTGAAGAAATTAAAATAGGCCCAAAGAGCCAAACTAACACTGTGAGTATACCCTACTTTAATTTTTGAGATCATCTCAAGAACAAATTTGATGCATTAAACACTAATGACAGAAGACCCAGCAAGTTGTGGGATGATATTAAGCACTTCATACACAAAGAAGAAAAAGATCATTAAAAAGACAGAAAAGAAAAAAAAGAAGATCGAAGTGTATGTCAGAAGAGACTCTGAAACTTGCTCGTGAACATAGCATAGCTAAAGCAAATGGAAGAAATAATGAAGTAAAAAATCTGAATAGAAAATTTCAAAGGCCCCTGGAAAAGTCAGTTGGATGTTATAAGGAAATGTGCAAAGGCCTGGAGTTGGAAAGCAAAATGAAAGAATATGCTCAGCATTAACTCAAGCTGAAATAATTGAAAACCACAAACAAAATTCAAGACCTGAGTTGAAAAATCAAAGAATTACATTGAACAAAAGAGGAAGAATTAAAAAAAAATTTTTTTAAGGAAGATAGAGTCATTCTACCAAAAAGAACTGGTCAATATTCAACATTTCAAGAGGTAGCATTATATTGTGAACTAAAGGTACTGAAGGAAGAAGTCCAAGGCTCACCAATGGCATGAGTAAAAAACATGACTACAGGAATATCAATTGAGATGTTTTG